ATGATCATTTCCAAAACTTGCTTTCGCCAGCTCTCAACTATATAGCCAAGCAGAGAGAACAGAATGTCCCTAGCTGTATGGAAGCCGTTTTGTTTCCATATCATATTATTCATTTTTTGGCTTTCAATATGTGGCATGAACTTAGCACTAGAATTTTCATCTGAGTAGATAAATTATGCTGATGCATTCTTCATACCTCAAGATATCAGAGAAAGGCCACTATTTGGGTATGATAAAGTAATTCACATATTAGGGATTTCATTTTGTTTCACAGAGGTATTGGGAAGAAAATCAAAGTATTTGCTTATTTACAAAGCATGCAAAATATTAATGTGTCAGGCAATAATTATGCCAAAAACTATAATCTACCTTACCTTGAAGCCATTAAGTTTTAACTGGAATTGTAAAGTTATTGTCAAATAATGGCAAAGATAATAACAGTGTTTTGTCAACTTCAAGATGAAACAGAAATAAATACCTGTTATCTTTAACCTACCTTTTCATGTCTTCAATTTTATTCATGGGTGAGTAAAGAAACAGGTGGATGTAGGTCTGATTAACTTCCAGAAACACCGTGGCTACACTGGTGTTCAAGCTATTTATAAATTATATATTTTTCCTTAGTGAATTACTCTATTAATGTGGCATTTTGAATGATAATGATAACGTTTTTTTCTCTCCTTGTGACTGTCAAAGTTAACTGTGACTTGTCACAGAAGTTCTGTGCCTCTTGTTGTGCTTAGAGCTCTTACATTTTCTTTGGTACTTGATGGTACTTAGAAGAATATGGGTTTGTCCATTCTTAGACACTATGAAAGCATGTTCTCATATAAAACATTAGAAGCAAGCTGGTAACAATTAGTTATATTTGTAGGACTTTCATTTCCATCTGCATGGTTGCATGGAGCTCATACAGTATAGAAAATGTGGTGCATTGAAGTTCACTTATTTACGTGGTGCCTGTAAATTTACAAGCTCACAATTTCCAAGCACTGTTACAGAAAACAAAATCACAATACCCAAGTTATGCCACAGAGAGACAACAGGAATAAAATACACAAATAATAATTTGAACATTGACAATACTAAGCAGCTGAAACTGCGCATGTTTAGTACTTCTGGGGACAGCAAGTACAAGAAGGGCTTGAATTGGAGAATCTTTATTGCCACAGGGGGTCAGTAGATCACACAGGTAATCAGGATATATTTAGATGTCAGTATGAGCCTCAAGTGGGATTTGAAGCCTACTAGTATTACGTGGAGTTGCTTAGTACCTCTTAAAATGTCTGCACTTGAAAAGGCCTTTCTGTACCACAGGAAGTTTACACTCAATCTGAAGTATTTAAGACTTATTATATATAATGGTAGTATATAATATACTCCCTCATTTAAGTGAGGGAGCAGTCAAAATGTGTTAAGTGCATGTACAGTATGCGAATATTACATTATTCAGTGAAATGAATCCAAATGCAGTTTCATTCTTAATACGATTGGCATTAGATTCAAACTCCACTGACTGAAAGTGACTTAAATCTGCTCTGGTATTATTTGCTTCTGGAGAACTAACCTCTTCCCCGGCCAGTAAAGATACAATTCACTGTTACACAGGACTGCTTTGCAAATCAAAAAACTTCTCTGGCCGCCATGTTTTGACCACATAATGGGTGGTGTCGTACACATAGAAAAAGCAATCTGACCCATGGATAACACACCCAAAGAACTGAGGTTTGAACAGCAAGCCAACCTATACATTTAATTCTAACTATATTTATATCTGTTTAAATTAGAACATGCACTTTGTGGAACTAAGAGTTTACCTAAAACTTCCTCAAAAAAGCTATACATTTTCTACTGTATTAATGAAAAAATGACTATCCACTTGTCTTAATTAACATAATAGAGACATAACATAGGGACAGGACAATACAACTTTTGTGATGGAAATCTGGAATGTGAAACAAAATTTGAAGGTTTCTTTTTGTCTGACACGTGAAAATCTCCTTCCGACAGAAGACTGAGTATTCAGATTCGTACAGTGAATCTCAAGCATAGTTTCAGAATGTGTTGCTATGCATTTTTAATTACAAGGCCTGCCTTTCTATCAATTTAATTTCAAGAGATATTTGTGATAACTCGTTCTCGAGAACTCTCCCAAAATTTAAGCATGATGATCTTCATTGTATTAAATATATGCTGACACTAATATTCACTGGGGGATTTTTGAGGTATAGAAAATGAAATTGTAACTAATCTTTTGAGAGTTAGTTTTCCTTCTTGAATATATTCCTATGTAATTAGTATTTCAAGTAGAATAGTAATTGTAATAATGCAATCATAGAATTAGGTAAAATGCTGTTTTTAATATGGTGTGAAAACACTGTAAAAACAATGATGAACAATTCAAAGCATTAAAAGAAATTACATTTCCAGATGTTTATTTTTGATTGGGAGCTTGGCGAGTGGCGGTCTTAATTAAAGGAGTTTGAATTTCATTATAAAGCTGTACAGTAAATTACAGTAGCTCTTGTTGCTGCAGGTTCAGATATAGGTTCACAATAGTAAAACATTTGTTTGCTGAAAATAATGTTCATGATCTTCTTTAGATTTCAAATAGCAATTCAATGTGCATGTTAATGTTTTTTCCAGTTTTTAATTGAAAATGTATGTGACTGTAAAATAAATATAAATGATCCTACTAGTGAATGGATTCAAAATCACAGCTAGTGCTTATAGTATGTATACTTGTTTTCCGAAAAGAAGGATAATACTTGTTGTCATTGATTCTGTTTTATCTCTATGTTATTGCAACATACATATCTGTTGCTCAACTCACTGAATTCTGATTCTGACCAAATTGTAAGGCTGAGCAAAATAAGTAAACTGAAAATGAAAATCAAGCCTACTGTATGTGAAAAAAAGTGCTGACTATGTGTACTTAATCCTTGGTATTTTTTCAATAACATCAAAACACCTGCTTGCAAGTACAGAACATGTTCCATAGGGTTATAGTCTAAAAAAATATGTTTAGACACATTTCCTTCTGTTTTCATCCAGACAAAAAGGTAAGTAAAGATAAACCTTTAAAACTGTCTTTTTTAATGTCTATATTTGATGTTCCCTTTCGAACACTTTCCATCTGTATTTGCTAAAATGTTGTGGCACATAATACAGATAATAAGTGTTAAAAAAGTTTTATCTTTATAAATTATTACAAATTGCAGATGTCTGAAAAACAACAATGACCTTTTCCTAATTAGAAGAGGGGTACCAACATTTAGCAACGTAAAAAGCTTTAATTGACCGTGCGCATTAAATGGAATATTGGTCTTGTTCATTATATAATTTCAGTTGTTAAAAAAACCAAACTGAATATTAGCAGACCACAAAAAGTGGTTATTCACTTGAATGAACTGGTGCTGAACCTCAATGGTGTACAATTATTCCCCTCAAATATGGTGGCAGTAATCTGTCACTACTTTGACTAAAACAGTGTAGTTCCTTCAACTAATCAGGCAGCAATATCTCCCTTTTTATGGGCTTTTGAGCTGAATTTGAAATACAAATCTCTATTTTTAAAATCCTACGGGTTAGATTGGAAATTCCTTCTCAAAAGCTGCTACAGGGCAAGGAGATAATGCAATGATGTAAAGTTATTCTCTTCCACCTTTGGTGACCTTGAGCTAAAGGGTCAAGTGGGATCATGTTCAAGATGTTTGGGATTCCACTACAGTGCATCGTTACTCCCATAAATCATAATTACGAAACAACACCATCCAAGCTTCAGCAGAAAAGGGACAGAAAGGGCATTGGTTTGATTTTCGGCCTGTCACTCAGCAAGCCACTGGGGACAATGACTTATGTTCTTATGTGCTTACAGGTCAGTCGACTAAATGGAGGAAGCCTTAGTTTTAGAAATGTGAACTTTACTCAAAATACCTAACATTTCTTCTTTTGTTTCTTGCAAATAATAACAGCCTGCAAACCACTATGTTTATGACTAATAAAATAAAAAGCATCAACTTCCATAATGATAAGTTATACTCATGTTCCAAAGTATTTTTATACTGTGCGACTAAAGAAACGTACTGTATCACTTAGAATTGCAACAAATCAGAAGGTAATTATCAGGCAGCTGACAGAATCTTTCTTCTATCTGACATTTTATTGATCAGATATGACAATTAAATTCATTAACATTTGCCATGAAAAGGGTTGGTCAACAGGGCATCTTCAGGGAATGTCACTGTGTGTAACCAGAATTGAAAGCTGTAAATCTGTGATCCTTGCTTTGCTCCAAATCGCAGCTCCTGTTTTGTGATGTCCTGTCCCTTTGGCCTTAAAGACCGTGTACAAGAACATGCCTGTTGACTCCTCTCTGAGCCCCTGGTGCCAAACATCATCTCAGCTCATATCACAAATATTCAGTGAGGTTCAGAGCCAGCAAGCTGGATATCCCTAACATTAATGTAACCAACTCATCTGGCAGGAGTTACAGTACCTCCCGACATCCCGTTGTCCTGCTGTAATGTGGTCACATGACGATCAGCCTGCAAACAAGTCCCAGGACTTGATAAAAGCAGCACTGTGCAGTTAGGTTTCCATCAATTAGTGCAAATGGAGTTGAGATAGTGCATTGATTCTCATGCTAAGACCACTGTATCTGGTATTCCCCATAGACTGGTTTGTTGTACGTTCAGTAACAATTAGCATGGTGTTCTACATACTGTGTCTGCACCACACTTGCTGACACCCGTTGAGGTGGTCGACACAAACCCTTACTTAATCGCTAAGGACGTGACTTCTCTGCTGACGAGTCCACTTGGGGTAACGCAGCAGATTATGAATATTTCCTACGAAGCTGAAGGTGTTCATGTTGAGACTTATCATGGTGTCACTCTGTGGTTAACATTTAAAGGCTTTTCTGTTTGTGTTCATTTCTCCTTTTCTGTGACTTGTATTTATCCTCTGGCTTAACAGTATTCTCTTTTTGTCTTTTTTAGAGACCTTTTCATCATCTGTCCTATTGTGAAGATGGCCAGTTTCTGGGCAGCCAACACAAGATCCAATGTGTTTATGTACCATGTACCAGAAGACATAACACAGACCAGGTAATCTAGATCATAAGACAGAGAACAAATGGCTTTCAACCCATTTGTTTTCTATGTTAATCTCAGTAATGAGTTCACCCCAGTAGTCCAAAAGTCCAGCTGTCCATTTTCTAACGTCTTCCTCCAACTCAGAGTCGCAGGGGAGCCAGAGCTTATACTGACTAGCAATGGGCACCAGGTGGGGTTCATCCTGGTTTGGATGTTAGTCCATCGCAGGGCAGACACACAAACACAGACACTCTCACGCCAGGGCCAATTTTCCCAGAAGCCAAATAAACTACCAGGCTTTGGACTACAGGAGGAAACTGGAACACCTGGAGGAATACCATGTGAACACGAGGAGAACATACAGACTTCATACTGATAGCACCCCAGGTCCAGAATTGAACCCAGGGCACCTAACCTGCAAGGGAGCAATGCTACCTACTGCACCACTGTGCCGCGGTCCTAAAGATTTTACAGGACATAAACACTTCAAGATTTATATCTAATTTTATCAGTCCTGAATCACACATTTATTCAAATACGGGAGAGGAAAGATGTCTTGGTGATTATGAAATATAGTGTAGGAACTCTCTCTTTTTGTGATTCACCACAATAAAATATATCGATATCAGTTCCTTGATAATGTCCTTGAACTGTAACAAATGTTTTGGAAGACTGCTATGTTTTTTTTTTTCTGTGAAGTTTTCCCTGTCGGGAAATTGCAGACATACTAAGGCATACAAGCTCAATGATTAATTACTTGTGCAGCTTTCAAATTTCATTTGTGCATTTTTTATACTCAGACTGAAAAACTAGATGAGAAAAACGCACTGCAGAGCTGAATGCTCAGTAATATGTCTCTCATTAGCAAGAGATCAATGAACTACAATGAACTATCTATTCATGAGTGGTAAAATATGAACAAATAACCACAAGCATTCGACTTTGACAGCGACACTTTAATATAATTAAAATGAGACTTTTGTGTTGTAATTATTATTCTTACATATGTAATGATTTGCAAAATGCAAGTAAACCGTAAATGTGAGAAAGACAGTGAGATGAAATCACTGCTTTTTATGCTTAGTAATTGAAAAAATACATGTGACCTATTCCCTTAAAACTTTCATTCTTATCTTTGTTTTTGCAAATACCTACCCAAATCTACAAAGAAAGAAAAATAAAGATGGAGGTTGGAATTCTTTTAAGGGTTTTAGAGCTTTTGCTCCCAAAACAACACTTCCATGTTTTTTTTTCCTCCCTTGGAATGTTATGTAATGCAGGAAGTAGCAATTTATTGGACGAGATTCAGCTTCTATGAGACCACCTCCGAGACATGGCAGTAATACTGTGAATCTGAACCACTGCCGTTTAGGTTTCTTATTATTCCTTATTCTTTCAAATATGAAATAACTGTCGAAGCCGAATGTCTTCTGTCTGTACCAATTCATCTGCTGAAGATTGATGCTTAAATACATTTAATTACAGCTAGCATAGGCATTGGACTGCTTAAAATTAATCTAGAATTGACTTTTTTACTAACAATTTAGCTATGCTCCATTAAGGTAAGCTGCTCTTAATTTGATATATTATTTAATAATTTTCCATTTTTTTTTCTCTTGGAAATACATTAACCACACTGTGACAGGTTATCCTGTCTGTAGTTTTGCTGTTTTGAGGCCACCCTGTCACACACATCTACGAAACCTGAATAATCAAAACTTGCTTTAAAAAACTTCAAACTCTTTAAAACAAAGCATTAGAATCAGAATGCAATTATCTCTGTAAATCAAATTTTCATTAATGTTATTCTGATGTTAGTGAACTGCTAGTTAACATACTGTATGTTCATTAGAGATGTGTTTTTAATTTGTCTTACTTTGAAACAATGGGGCTTCTTCATGAAATCTTGGGAAAATAATTGGCCACCAATTCAAAGTTTTTTTGAATCAACATCACTGGAAAAAGCATCCCCCTTTTTCCAGTGATGTTGATGCTCTTAGAAATGCACATTGAATTCTATTTTACACAGGTGCTTGGCATTCTTTAGAAGTTGACATGACCCAAGGGAACAGTCAAACTTGAGAAAAGAATACAAGATACTAAAGAGAAAGAAAAAATGACATGCTCCTTGAGTCAAAGAATTCTATTTTTTTTATTACATCAATTACTATGTCTTAGAACCTAATCCACTGGACTATTTCAAGAAGCAGTTTGTTGTGGTCCCGTGACCTATAAGTAACTAACATCAAAAGAACTAATCCAGGCCCCAAAGGCTTTCTCTTATTTGTAACCTTTCCTATGTTTTTATTTTTATATTAGCTCGTCCATCCCTTTTCCTCAGTCGAAAAGGAGTCTATATGAGCCCTGAAAGGAGTGAATGAAACGAGTAGAAGAAAATAAGTCACACCGTGCCAGAGAAAGTGGTCTAAATCCCAAATTGTGATTTTGAGTCGTCGGAGTATAATTAAAGGCTCATGAGCTATTATTGAACACCTGTGTTAAATAACGTTTTGGAATATGAAATGGAACGAAAATACTGCCACCAGGCAGCACAGGGGAGGAAACAACAGCAGTAAACCAGAGTTCACAATTCCAGCCTACCTCTTAATAGCTACTTTTACCTGCCAGCTTGTCTGGTAATCTGCACAAAAACAAACATAATTATCCCAAGTTATAAGAAATTACTTGGCAATTACAGTCATTTTTTGGAGTAGAGGTGCTTTTTTTTAGCTTCTTTTCCCTCTTCAAAATAAGATCCACCCTTCCCATCAAAAGAAAATATACAGTTGGCTTCTGAAAGATACTGGCATTTATTTTATACCACTCGAGTTTGTGCAACACATTCTTTTCACAATTCTTAGCAAAATGATTATAGAGTCTGCACATTCGTGGTGCGTTTTCACAGAAGCCAAATGCATTTCAAAATATAAAAAATTGTTGTTTTGTTAATAGCTGGGTTTATTTACAAAACAAAAATAAGACAGTCTCTTAGCTGCACTATAATCATCACACCTACCAGCAGTTAAGGTTTATACAGTATGTGGTTGATTCACAGAGGACGAAACACTAACTCAAAATGTAAATACTATATATGATTAGACATTGTGATTACATGCGCATTTCTGGTGCAAGCATGCAAAAGTGGCCAAAATATCATAACATAACAACAGAGGAAAGGTTACAAACGAGAAGGTATTACTCATCATATCTACTGTAGCTTGCTTGGTTTCTGGTAGCAAAAATGGATCCAAAAATCTCATCCAGCCATTTCTTGAAAGATGCTAGGGCATCCACTTCAAAACTAAATACCTGGGTAGCTTGTTCTGGATTCCTGTTCGCTCACCATATTCCCATTAAACAGCTTGTTCAATCTGGGAACCTGTTTCCACAGTTTTCACTTGTGCCATTTTGTTTCACACAGTTGATTTTGAAGCAGTTCACGACAATTTTGCAGGCTTGAATTAGGTCCCCTCCTTGTCGTCTCTCTTTGAAACTTTAAAAAAATTCAAGGTTTTAGTATTTTAGCTTGACAGTTTGAACATGGAGTCTTGGAGCCCAGGGATATATTGCTCTTATGTAGAATGATTACAGGTCATTGTTATCATTTTGTAACCTGGACCAAAATTATACACAATGATCTAATTAAGTTCTCAATAGTACATTGTACAATTTTGACATAACATCCCTTGAATTAAATGCTACACTTTTAACTACATATACTATTATTCTATTAGCTTTTTTGTTGCTTCATCACATTGTCTAGCAGGCGTAAATGATGTGTCAACATCAACACCTTACTTTTCTTCATAAGTAGTGTATACACATGGGCAATATTACTCATTTTTTATTTATTATTCGAGTTTTTGTTACCTCCTGTAAAACTCTGCATTAAATGTCATCTGACCATTCTTTGCCCAATCCAGAATTCTGCCTAAATCGTTATGATTTTCCTTTGCAGACTATGCGGCATTTGCTAATCTATAAACTTTACTACTTTACTGACTATACAAGAATCTAGGTTGTTAATTGAAACTAAAAGAGGCAGTAGTCCTAATACAGATACTTGTGGTACTCCACTGATTAGATCACCTCAGCTGGATGATCTGTCCCTTGTCTGTACTGTTTTTTTAACGACTCTCAATCCAAACACACACATTACTATTTGCTTTTAAGTCCTTTAACAGTGTAGAAAATAAGTTTTTCCAAGACAACATTTACTACCAACAACCTCTGCTGTGGAAACAGGGACTGGAGTTTAAATGCTCTTTACATGCCATGTCAGAAAGCACATTTAATAATTTAATACTAAATGTAATTTAATACTAAACATCATTGTATCTAATTTTTTTTTTGTTTTCCATCCATTGTCCGTTGATTCCACACATTCCTGTATCATGGCACAAATATGAAGAAATTTGTGAAAACGTAATTTACGTTCTTACAGCTATTTTCAATGAGGATTCACCTTGACTGTGACTCCCTCAGTTCTGTGTACCGGATGTATAATGTGTTTGATATTAGGAGTAGGGATCAAGCACTGCCATTCAATCCTTATTCATGAACAAAAGAATATTAATATGAATATTTTCAAACCAATAGATTAAAAAACAGATTTAACTAACTTATAATCACATCAGAAAATTACAAACAAAAGGAGATCTTTTGGCTCATCTAGCATGTTTGATTGCGAGTAGCTAATTGATCTGTGGATCTCACCTGCATGGGTTTTTGATGTATAGAGTTCTATGAATCAGTGCCTACTAGAATTCATTTCAACATAAAACCACTGCTTTTAGAGTCTGGAGACTCTAAATTTGAGAGATGTCAAATTCAGAAAACAGCTCTTTCTGCTTGTCTTTTATTCTAAATAGGGATATTCCCTGGTCACAATAAGCACTCTTGATGGACAATTGCTATAATCTGGGCCTCTCACAATATACACCTAACATTCTGTCTTTTGAATGTCTCAGTAAAAAAAAAAATCTGGGCCTCCTCTTTTACATGGTTTAAGT